CAAATAAACTGCTTTTATTAAGTGTAAATTTTAATAGCAAAAAATGAAGAAAAAGTATCAAATAATACAAAATGAATAATAAATAATTAATTAAAAATTTAAATGAAAATTAAGTTAAAATAATAGCTAAGAGATTTTTGTTTTAATAAAAATCATTAAATAATAATGATAATTTCTATAATAAAAATTATTTATTTAAATAAATTGAAAATTAAATATACAAAAAATATTAATAATAAAAAAAAGAATATCTTTTAATTAAATATACTTGAGATCAAGATGGAGAATCTAATGAGATAATAGTGAAGAGCTTAAAAACTTTTTTTATAAATTAAAATAAATTTAAAGGATATTAATATAAAAATTAATAATTACTTCTTCTAATTAGTTATATTTTTTAATCTATTATATCATTTATTTATTTTTCAAAAATATTGAATAGCAATTTATTAAATTTGATTAATTTATTAATTAATTATAATATCACAGAAAAATTAATTTAACATTCATTATTTAAACTTAATATTTGTATTTAAAACAAACGCTTAAAAATATATATAGTAGGAATTAGAGATGGTCAGTTATTTATTTAGTCCTATTTGAAAAAATTCTAGTATTTAATGTTCTTAAATTTTATCAAAATAATGTTTATAAATAGATTTTTCTGTTTTAGTTCACTAATTTTAGGAATATTTATAATATCTCTAATATAGCAAGATGCCATACAAAAATTTTAAGTTTGTACGCCACTTTTTATGAAATAGATTTTTTTATTAATTTATTAAAAATTTTAATATATATATATTATAATAGAATTATTGTTAATTAATAATTTAATTTATTATAATTTCAAAATAAATAATTTTTTTACATCAAAATTTTTTAATTTTTCTAAATTTTGTGTAATGGGGTAGACAAAATACAGGAAAGAGAATTTACAATCGGAGCATTTTTAGATATTTGGTTAGCTACTTCCCCAATTACCATAGAACCAGTTGGTTAACCCCCCCAAAACATTTTCGCTTAAGCTTTTTATACACGTTAGGTTTATTAACAATGGATAATTGTTAAATATTTTAAAAAAGAGAGGGAAAATAAATCTATTTTATGACCACAGAACCAGTTGGTTATCCCTCAAAACTTGTTCGCTTAAGCTTTTTATACGTGTTAGGTTTATTAAAGATGGATAGAAGTTAAATATTTTAAAAAAGAGATTGAAAATAAATCTATTTCAGGATATTAAATTTAAAAGAATTATAACTTGGCTTAAGTAAAAACTTGAATTATGTAAACACAGTTATAATCTTATTTTGAAGAATAGAATTATAATAATAATAATAATATGACTTTAGGTAAAATTTTAATAATGGGAAATAAAATTATAATGTTCTTAATTTTATAATAATTTGTTTAAATAAATTAAATCTTTAATAATCTATTTCCTGATATTAAATTTAAAAGAATTATAACTTGGCTTAAGTAAAAAATTGAGTTTTGTAAACACAGTTATAATCTTATTTTTAAGAATAGAAAAAGAAAGATATGACTTTAGGTAAAATTTTAATAATGGGAAATAAAATTATAATTTACTCAATTTGATAATAGTTTGTGAAAATAAATTAAATCTTTAATTATATTTTTATTAACTATTTATTTCATTATTATAATTTATCAGATGTTACAAGCTCATATTTCTGGATTTGTTCTTTATTTATTAATTAAATATGAAAATTTTATTATTATTATTATGTTTTAATCTAAAACAAAACAAAATAAAACAAATAAATTTTATAACCTAATAATAATAAAATGAATTAAGCAGCACACTCTAGTAAACTCAACAATGGCTAAATTATGCCATTAGTTGGATTAGGAACCTATTTACTTAATAGTAAAGAAGAAATGACTAATTTGCTCAGAACTGCATTAGATGCAGGATATCGCCATATTGATACTGCAGTCAATTACTAAAATGAAGCTATGATAGGAGAATCTCTAAAAACTATTTTTAAGGAGGGAAAATATAGTAGAAAAGATCTCTTTATTGTCAGCAAGGTATTTCCTAACAAGGGAATCAACATGCTTGAGTCTGTTAAAAAATCACTTAAGGAATTGTAACTTGACTATGTAGACTTATACTATTTACATTTCCCTCTTGGTTTCCTAAGTGAGAAGGAAGAATTCGTTCATTTACCTGTCCATGTAGCATGGGCTCAGCTTGAAGAAGCTCATAGATTAGGTTTAGCTAAATCTATTGGTGTATCAAACTTTAATGTTATGGCTCTTGCCGATCTTCTTAGCTATGCTAAAGTAAAGCCAGTTTCAAACTAGGTTGAAGTCAGTGTTTTTATTTAGCAAAAGAACCTAATTAAATTTTGCTAAAGATTTGGAATTCATGTCACTGCCTATGCACCCTTAGCAAAATACACTGATGTTGAGTCAAATCCTATTCTTCAAAAGATTGC